TTCGCGCGTTGGGCATCAAGGTGCCCTACGTGAGCGATGGACCCTTCTGGGCCATCGCCGATGGCAACGACATGCTGCGGCCTCATAGGACTTTCCCGAATAAAGCAAGTAAAAGAATGATAACAACATACAGACACATTGCAAAGAAAATAATGTACACTATGTGCTAAGCATTGCTTCGCTTGTCAGGAAGGCGTTGATGCGTGTCGACTCGCAGAAGATCAAGTATGACGGGAACTTCATCGTAGCTTACAGGGAGCACTTTGTTGCAGTCCGACGACTTGACGGCGTTCTACAGATCAATTGGGGACATCGAACTCACGCATGGATGGAGCTGAGACTGTCACGATCTTTGCCGCTCCCGGTCTGGCAATGTCCTGACTCACACGTCTGGCACATGAACACCGCTGCGGTGGACGGCGTCTTTGAAGTACAGGCTGCAAACATGTTAAGCGCAATGCCACCCACATGTATGAGGTAACCTTTTCGCGCAGGCCCGTGAAGAATTATTGCCAGATGCTGCTGCCGATGTTCGTGCAGGTGGCATGCCGCCGCCGATCTTAAGGTACTGACTGGTGCGCGATTGCGTAATTCTTCTTACTTCTGAAACCTGAGGCAATGGATGCGAGATATGTTTCACCGAGATCTCGTGCAGTACGGCGGCGAAATACCCGATTTTCAGGTTCAACCGAATCATGATAGCTTCAACGTCGACTTCTGGGCGCAGGCTCAACATGACAGTGTGCCACATGCATCTTTCGTCCGCCTTAATTATCTCCCTGCAGATTCGAAACGCCATAGCTGAGCACGAGCAGCCTCAGGCATCTCCACACGCTTTCATCCATGTTACTTCATGTTTCATTAGTCCAGCGCGCTGACCTTACACGAAGGATTCCGACAGCAGTCGCAGAGGTGCTAGCGCCTGCTTGTGTGGGGAGGAGGTGCTTGTTATTCCATCGCAATGCTGCGTAAATGTCTACACATCCAACCTTGTCTGTGATAGTTGGTATCTTTAGTTGCAGGACACAGCAGATTTGCCGAGTTCCACATGGACAACACAGGCTATGCGTGGGTGTGTAACTCAACCTTCTGGAAAGACAGTGTACGATTCAACAGCCGAATCTCTCCTCAGTTTTCATCGTGACGAGGAGGCATCCAGAGCACCTTCGACTCTGCTAGACATACTTCCTGGCGAAACGTTTACGGTTTCTCGGCGTTTCATGAAGTGACCTAGAATTCTTGGTAGTACTGACTAGCGTCCGGTTCAGGATATGTTGCTCCGGGTGTCGGCAGCAGAACGCCAACAGGAACGAGTGCCTCGTCGTTTTAGCTTGCGTCCAAGTTGGCTACCTCTGCAACTGGAAGCGTGTCGGCGACCGGACGATTTTTACGTGGTGCGGCGCAGTTCTGGGGAAGCTTTCCAGGGCGTTGGCGTCGCAACCACTGACGCGTACACCATGCATTGCCAGCATCCTTTCCTACGCAAGCTGGGGTTTGCCCAGAACACCACGCAGCACCTGGTGTATTGCCCTGCTATCAAGACTGCGTTCTGGGGTGCCAGTGCCGCAGATTCGTGGAGTGTATATCACGAAGCGATGTCGTTTTGGAGGCTACTTTCTTTTGTTTGACGCAAAAGTCAAGTAGTGATCAGGATAAACAGGTTAAGATAACGCGCGAGAAGAGGAGTCTGGAGTCGCTGTCTTTCAGTATACAGAGTTGTGTGACTTGATGATGCAGAAGCAGTACCTGCATCTAGGTTTAAAGGTTTCGCGCAGTGATACATAGCCTTGCTGCACTCTGTCAGGACCATGATTCCAAAAACACTTTTCCATTGCGTCACTTTTGTCCAAATACACGTGGCAATCGGACAGGAATATGCCATCTTCACCGGTGATTCCGAGTACACCTTTGTGTGTGTCACGCAGGCTTGGTTCAAGCGTTAAACTACGGCATTTCCAGTAAAAGCAAGTGTCTTTCCGAGGTGGTCACGAAGTCGCGAGAAGACTTCTACATCTTCTTCAGTAGCAGCGCCGCCCAAGACTGCAAGCTCGCAGTTCGCGTAATGTAAGGGTCTTCCTCGCACAGACTAGACCTTGTATGTTTTCTTGTCTTATTTATGGTATGACAAATGGAAGTGTAAGCGAAGTTAGGAAAGAAAACGTTCGTGGTCAAGTTCGACGGTGGAACAGAAGATCGCCGGACCTGACCGACATCAGGGCAGGTGCAAGTGGCCACACCTCAAATCTGATTTCAGCTATTCAGCAATACGTCACTCGCCAGAGGATTCGAGAGGTACAAGATTTGACGCTAAAACATATCAGGGAAATGCTCACGAAACCAGCTTTATGGCAGCGTATTCCGGATCCATTCGCGTCTACAATCGATGCACGAACCTGGACTCACTATATGGATTCTGCCGCCTACGAGGCCAGGAAGGTTTCAGGGTGTGTGTCACCGGAGATCATGCTAAGCGGTCGCAGGATCGATCTCTGCGTCGTCCAGAAGCTATCTATTTCTGATGTCGGCCGCGCCATCCAGCGGGTTGATGCATGGGCGGGCCATGCGAAGCGTCTTGCTGAATTTTTGGAAGCCGGCAG